ATGAGTTCGATTCCCACCTGCCCCGGAGGAGATCCACATGGCGAGGCAGACCTCTCCTGGCCTGTCCGCTGCTCCCCTCAGCAGTGTACTTAATCGATCTGCCTGTTCTGTTCCCCACTCTGTCTCTGGTGAAGCCTTTCACTGTCCCTGAGCCTCTGGCCTGTACCCCAGTTCTGTATGAATAAATAAATCTTAAAAAAAAAAATGCAAAGATCATATTCCTCTATTTTAGGAACTTTACAGTTTTATGTCCTACATTTAATGGTTTACCATTTTGAATTAATTTTTGTGAATGGTATTAGTTAAGGATCTAGTTTTACCTTTTACATGTGAATATCCAATTATCCCAGTGTCATTTATTGAACAGGCCACCTTTTCTCCATTGATTATTTATTTTTAATTCTTTTTTAAATGTTAGTTGATCATATGTATATTAATATTTTATACACACACATATATAATGTATATATATATATAATGTAATGTATATTATATGTGTGTGTGTGTGCATATATAATGTATGGGTTTGTTTCTAGGCTCTTGATTCTGTCCCATTGGTGTGTTTGTATTTTTTTTGTTGTTGTTAATAGAAATGCCATACTGTTTTGATGAATATTGCCTTAAAATACAGTCAAAGTCAGAAATGGAATCCCTCTTACTTTGTTCTTTCTGGGCATACTTTTTAAGTAATCCATACATACTATTTTATTTTTCAAAGTCATATTTTAACATAATATGTTATACATAGTTGCCAATTGTCAGAGACAAATCAATGTTGTAATATAACTTCATACTAATATAGTACATAGGAGATCTAGCTAGCCAGCTAGCCAGCTAGATAGATAGATACACCTCTCTTACATCTCTTTCTCTTGCTTGCTTGCTGTTTCTCTGTCTCAAGTGGAGGCTTTACGAAAAAAATTGCTTTTCATCACCACTTAAAAAGTATAACTTTCTCTTTAAAGAGTAAGATAATTAACCCCTTCCAAAGACTTAATATCAAGAATTGCTTTAATGTAATAAAGGTGTCGAGAATTTGTGATTTGGTTTGATAGGTTAGCAACTCATATATGAACATTTCCATAGTGCTAGAGATAAGTTTTACATAAATATATGTCTTTTTCATATTTAGTTGAGAAAACTTACATGGAGTGAAAACCAAGAACTAATGAAACTCTTTAAAATTGGTTCATAATGTTACTCTGTTTTAAGAGTTCTTACAGTGGTCTATTTTCAACAAAACTGTTACAATGCCAGTTGCTCTAGAGCTTGACTCATGTAGGTACTCAGCAGAAAAGATCCGAAGTGACAGTTATTTTTCCAAAGCTACATTTATTGCATCTGTTCAGTTGTTAAGCCTCCAAGGTCTGCTTTCATTTTATTCCTGCTTGAAAACTCAACTGTTTTCTAGTAAAATTCATTAGAAAAAGGAATATAAAAATGCACATAGAATTGCTTGGCTGCCTCTTAAAATACAACTTTGAGACACAATCAGTTTTACAGAAGATTTCTATAGATAGTTTCAGCATAGTGATACTTCTTATTAAAACAAAAATTACAAGAGTCTATGTGCATACCAAAAGTATGGAAAAAATACAAGAGAAAATGAAGAGAATACTTGACATTAATATATTGTATGTTTTCACTTAACAAAGGACTGGCTTCCCAAAGGGCTGCAGTGAAAGAATTAAACAGTTCTTGTGACTTATGAGCCATCTGCAGGGATTTGATTTCATTTTGGTTTTGCATACATATCTATCACAAGGATAAATGGACAAGTCTGTTCTGCAGGGGACAAACAGGTATTGTTAACCTATATGCTGAGTATGGATATGTATAGTATAATTCTGGTAACTAATTTCTATCTCATGCATGTGTAAGCACCTTTATTTTTTTAGAGGAAAAGGCAAAAATAGCAAAGGATGAAAAAAAATAGCAAAGGATGATTTTACAACTTTGTCATGTCATTTATCTGGCTTTTCAGTAATGAAATTGTTATTGGTAAGGCTGACTCAGATGGTTTGCTGTTTTCAAGATTCAGTACTTTTATGTGTTTATAGAATTGTTAAAAAAAAGTAACATGAATCTGCTTAGAAGTGTTTACATATTTTCCACAAAACATTACATTCATTCATAGTCACTAAAGCTGATGACTTTCATGATTTTGTTTTTCTTTGTTTTAATCTAGTGTTAGAAGCAAAGTGACATGGAGGAAAGAAAAAAAAATCTGAGATTTAGCGATTACTATTGCTCAACAGTGCCTGGAAATCAAGCTGCTATTTTGTAGACCCAAGCACAATCCTCTTTGCAGAAATAGGAGAAGTACCATATACCTTAAGCATCATGAATACTACAAGTCCTTGGCCTTTCTTACTTTTTTAGGGGGGAGGAAACTATTGTATTCATTTTAATGGTGGTTATTTGAAAATGCACAGCAAGGTTTTATTTTTTAAATGGTACAAGCACTCAAGAATGACAAAAAACTCACATGTATATCCAGAGTTTGCTTTTAATATCTCAAGTATATCATTTGCATGAAATGCCAAGCCTTCTCCAATAAGTCCTTTAGTACATACTATTACTTTAGCCGCAAGTAGACTAAGGATGGCCAGAGTATCCCTATTCCAACTCTGAAAAATACTGATAAACTCAGAAAGCCTTGCTTGGATTCCCCCAGATTGAAATGCCAAAACTTGTGGTTAAAACACAGTTAGAGAGCTGATGTGCCATTTCCACACATTTATCACTAATCCTATGGGGTTTTGTTAGACATCTTTGGCTTAAAATCTTATTCTCGGAACAGCAGTCAGCAAGCAGAGATTACTTAAAAACAGATGCTATCCAGGTCATTAGTGACCGAATGTAAGTTTTCCAATACAAAAATAGAGCAGTGTATGAC